TTAAAGATGCATACTGCGAGACAGAAACCGGACATGAGGAGATGAAACCGGACATGAGTCATTTCAGAGTGACATTTCATACTCAAAACAGAATCACAAAGCAGCCATTCAAACTGATGCTATGAGAAAATTCAGAGGGAAAAAAGGCACTGGTTCGTGTTATTGTTCAAAGCAGACTTTCCAGGAGCGCTTTACGGGCAGAGGCGTGACATCACTAAAGATGACTCTAAAGATGATCATTAAAAATCATTCTAAGAATAAGGAAGTGCAGTTCAAACATGATATCTAGGTGTGGTTAGAGCTTATGAGCATGATAACAAGCTGCTAAAAAACACCTCCACGTGACCAAGTGATTAATATCTTCACTTCTCTTGGTGTCAGAAAGTCTTTAAAGGTCCCATATTGTACACCTTTCTGGAGTTTTATTTTAGGTTTTGATCAAGCAAACAGGCTCATGTGATGGATAATGAGCAGCTTCCTCCATTCCATACATGCATTTGACAATCAGATGTGTCTTTACCTGCAACAAAACCAAAGCTTTTGTCAAAGACTTCTGCCTTCGTCTAAATGCTAAAAAACCGCAAAAACGGACAAATTAGTGTGTATTTTGAAAGCGTAGGTACGTGTAGGTATGTATCACTGCAGTTTGCTGTCATCATCAGTCACATGATCTGAATTTTTCTGCTGTTACTCAGCACAAATTCCAAACTGCTGACCTCATTCAGCAGGCAGCCATCACGAAGAAACACACATCACAGTTATCCATTACGCCAACACAGTATTCAAAATATCCTACAACCAAACCAGCAATACTTTCGCAGAGATGTCGTCATTATTATTGTTATAATAATAATAATAATAATAATAATTTTGGTAATAATAAAACAGCTGGTTCAATCCCTTTAACGTTTGCCAACTGACACACATTAGCACATTTTCCAGTGTCAACAATGGCACATGAAAATATCATCACATAAAATAACTATGTGTCTAGGGTAAGCAGTATGACCAAGATGTTAGATCGCAGTATGAGTAATTTGATATTAAGTTACTGGGTTTATGTTGTGATACGTTTATTTGCTAGAAAAGTTTGTTTTATTAAATAACCATGTGGAAATACATATTTGTTGATAAATAAATAGTACTTAATTTAATTAGATTATTTTCTATTTGGGTTGGCATCAGTGCAAACAGCTTCACAATTCACTCCTCTCAAGTGTAAATAACATAAAACAGACTTGATATCTACTGTGGTATAAACGAGACATTAAAATCTGCTGGTTGACACAATTCTACCATCTTACATGTGTCATGCTTCTCTAAATAACCTTTTTGATAACTGCAAATTTAATGAAATCAAATAATGAGTGAAGACCGTATGTATCTGCATAAACAAAGAATTGTGTTTGAATGGTTGAACTATAACCACTAGTCTTTGACCTAAAGCAATAATGTGTTTTTTATCAGTATATTACAGGCTTTATTATACTACTGATGATTATGTTCCTCTGAGCACTCAAGCAAACAATCCATTCAGAAAGTTCTATGACACTGTCAGCATGAAACAAACCAAACATCCCACGGGTTATTTGTATTGTCTCATGTTTACTTTAACCACACTAATGAGAAAACTGAGTGCATGTGAGGGCGATGTGAAGGACAATGACTTTAGGCTTTCAAGGTGAAATGCAGCTCTGAAATTGCACAACAGAGTATCAAAACTCTAAAAATGTAGAAAAGTTTAAAAAAAGGAAAAAAGACAACATTATTATTCTACTAATATTAAGATAAATATGTAATTAAAATATATATATATATATGTAATATGTATGCATGTATAGGCCTATGTATGTATGTTTGTACACACACACACAATTATATGTTTCCGTGTTGTCCTTGCTCAGCAAAAGCATGGAAGCGATGCTGTCTGGGGGTTTGGCAAAAGGAAAGTGGGACTGTGGGCAGTGCTCGGGGTGGTGACTGGAGGCAGTGACTGTAGTTCTGACATCAATTTTTTACGGAAGTCACAACGGTTCGTGAAAAATAGCTAGAACTTTAAGATTTAGTGAGAAACAACTGGCATTGTTTACTTATTTAATAATTTATTACTTAAAAATTGGACTTAAAAGTCTTATTTAAATATACAGTGGTGTGAAAAAGTGTTGGCCCCCTTCCTGATTTCTTATTTTTTTGCATGTTTGTCACACTT